AGACCTATCTCAGTACTACCAGTATTTAGTAAAATTTTTGAAAAAATTATGTATGATCAATTGCACAGTTTTTTTAATAATAATAATTTATTGCACAATAGACAATTTGGTTTTACAAGGGGTCGCTCCACAACTGATGCTAGTGTTGAGCTAGTAAAACATATATTTGATGCCTGGGAGGATGCCCACGATTCTCTAGGTATCTTTTGCGATTTATCTAAGGCTTTTGATTGTGTTGTTCATGAAACGCTGATCAGGAAATTACAGCACTATGGTATCAAAAATAAAGCCCTGGAACTACTTGCCTCATATCTATGTAATAGGATTCAAAAAGTTGATATTAATGGTGAGCGGTCTCCAGGCTCTGTGATAGAAATGGGAGTTCCACAGGGTTCTATTCTCGGCCCTTTTTTGTTTTTAGTATATATTAACGACTTACCTCACTTTGTCAAGGACAATCTCGAGATTGTGTTGTTTGCAGATGATACATCACTATTATTTAGACTAAAACGGACACTTTCTGATTTCACATTTGTAAACAGCGCCATTTCGAAAGTGGTTCATTGGTTTGATGTCAACAATTTACTATTAAATGAACAAAAAACTAAGTGTATACGTTTCACTATGCCAAACGTCAAGCCAGTGAAAACTACTGTGATAATTAAGGATGTCGGGCTGGACCTTGTGGACACTACGACATTTTTAGGTATAACACTAGATGCTAAGCTACAGTGGGGCCCACATATTGATAAATTGTCGAGTAGACTCAGCTCAGCAGCATACGCAGTAAGGAAAATCCGAGAGTTGACTGATGTTGATACAGCACGACTTGTTTACTTCAGTTACTTTCATAGCATAATGTCGTACGGTATTCTGCTGTGGGGGAATGCTGCCGACATTCAAACTATTTTTGTGCTGCAAAAGAGAGCTATTCGAGCACTTTATAATTTAGGCAATCGTTGTTCATTGAGGCAGAAATTTAAAGAAATAAATATAATGACAGTGGCAAGTCAATATATTTATGAAAATGTAATATATGTTCACAAAAATAAAGATAGCTTTTTGAAAAAAAGTGATGTACATGCCATAAATACCAGAAATAAAAATAAATTTGTTGTACCCGCCTCTAGGCTCCAAAAGATAAACAAGTCTTTTCGAGGTCAATGTGTCCGATTTTATAATAAAATCCCAAATAATATTCAGGAGTTGAGTATTAACAAATTTAAATCCGCAATAAAACGTGGCTTGTGCCAGAGGGCCTACTACTCGATTGTGGATTACATGGAGGACAAGAATGCTTCTTTCTTAAGTAAAAATGTGGTGTGGCTAGTATGTTTTTTATTATTTTTTCTATTTTTTATGTTTCACTTTATTTTCTCTTGTATTCGTTTGTTCTTCTTAATCTTGTTTTCTCTTCGTTGTTTTTTCACCTTTAAGTCCTTAATAACGGACATACTAGCACACATCAAAACAATGTTGTGATATATTTAATAGTGCCATTGTATCTACTTGTGAATTGCAAAAGAGTGGCCATGAGTTTGTTTGCCCTTTCTTCTCATAAGGCTCAACCCCTTGGAAACGGGCGGTTGTAGATCGGCACAGGCATAGATTTTGTATGGGTTTGATTTTGTTAAATTTATTTGGTTACTATTTGACAAAACAGAGATTGTCGCTTTTGTGTGTGTTGATCTATGACTTTAGAGTCTACATGGAAGACGATTTCAAACAATTTTGAAAATTTTATGAAATAAAGAAAGTTTGAGTTTGAGTTTGAGTATAAAAAGGGCTCCAAGAAGCAAAAACATTTTAGAACAATTATATAAACTTATGTCCACCTTTGTAAGAAGAGATATTGGATAAAAATTTGTTAATTAAAAATCGTATAACTTTTTCAAAATCGTAGTTATTTTCCCAATGGGTTTTTAGTCCGGTTGCCTAAGTTGTTCCTTCCACTCCTCTACGAGGACCTAGCGGAGTCTGCGGTTGTCGCAGTAGAGCGACGTTGCTGGCCCTCAGGGCTCAGGCCCCATAAAGCGCCATGGACCGCACAACCCCCGAGTAGAGTCTCCTGCAGGAGTCATTGGGTCCCATCATGACATGGAAATACCACTACGAAAACATCACGAAATATTAACGACGTGTATGGGCTTAACACTGCTTGTTTATACAAGCAGTGTTAAGCCCATACACGTCGTTAATTGCGCGGTCTTTAATTGGTTCAATCGTTAAAACGATTTCGAATCGAAAACGACTCAAAATTTCGAGACCTAAAGATCTCGAAATTTTGAGTTGAAGAACGAGCAACACGGTCGGGCGGTAACTGTAGCATAGTCGATAACGACGAATTGAAGGCGATAATGCAAGGGCATCCAACTCAACTACGACTGAGCTTGCTGCGGGTTTTGCAATTAGAGTCAAAACAACATTGAAGCACTTGCGTCAAATCGGAAAGAAAAAAAAGCTTGAAAAGTGGGTGCTGGGTCCCGTTCAGCAGTCTTCCACAGTAAATGTATAAACAAACCGCCATCAAAATAGCAAAATTGTGTAGGTAATTTGGGCCACTACTTTGATTAATTAAAATAAAAAAAATAAACAAAATGTTCGTATTTTTTAAATTTTCATACAAATAGGAACTAGGACTTCATAGGAAAAGACCGAATACTAATATGATATTTAAAATTTTAAAAAAATATAAATATTGAAAACAAATAAAATTGAAATCATTGAAAAATATTCAATAAGTCAATTTAAATAATAATAGTTAATAATTAAAGAGACAATAATAAACGTAAAGGAGAATGACCATTCATGGTTTCACTTTTAGATGTTGGCGTCATTATTTCAAATATTAACAAAACATACCTATTAATTTTTCAACCCTGATTCTCTTCTAACTCAGGGTTTGAAATTAAATCTTACTAGGTCTAAAACTTGAATTAATGGCCGTTTCAATTTGAATTGAATGCAAATTAACATCATTTTAAAATAAAATGGTTGAACAATAATTTGCAGTTTAGTAATCTTATTATTTCGTGTATGAAGTCGTATTTAACTTAGTAAATGTATAGTGTGTATCAAAAACACGATGCCACAAATATTATTTAAAAAAACTAACATCAGTGTCACAATATTTTCGCGTTATAATCCCAGTGTTGCTGAAAATGTCTATATCATCAGATCTACACAAAACATCGTAGTAAGTCATCCTAATTATTGAAGAGTGTTTACTAAGATTTGAACAGTGAACCTGGATAACGAGGTAATCTGCCAGGCACACCAATACACAATTTACTCAGGAGACTCGGACGGTCAATTGTATTATTGAATAACTTGTAGATATCCGTGTGGTGGCTGATTATGATTTCGCAGTGTCACCACCCCTATTCATCCCGTGGGTGTCGTAAGAGCTGACTAAGGGAGCAAACTACGCAGGACAATAGCACTGACACAAATCCTATTCTAACCCGTCTAGCCATAGTGGTATGGTAGACTAAAACCTCCTTTCTAAGGTTCTCTTGTCTAGGCCTCTGCCTATGTCCAGCAGTGTACCATTAAAGACTGTTGATGAACTTGTAGATAAAGAATGTCAGAGGCTTTGCGGCCGGCTACAAGGGATGCGAGCTTGAAGTAGCTGAGTCTACTAATATATGATCTTGATGAAAATAAAACTGTGAATATTCCATATTTCGTGTTTCTAACTTTGTAAATAACGCAACTTCCATACAACCATTTATCCCTTATTTTACCTTCTGGGGTGTAAAATAAAAAAAAGCCTTTCTTAATGGGTGCTTACAACATAAAAATCATAAACTATTTTTTTTTTTTTAATTTGTAGACCCAGCGGTTTAGGCTCTGCGTTAACGAATCAGGTACTCACTCAGGGAAAGTCATTTTATAGATAAACGAAAATAAAAATAAAATGTGTTTTTGAACTCAAGATCCCTGAGAAAGGAATCTAATAGTAAATCTCAAAAGTAACAATCTACGTCATTATGAAATAATATTAACGATCGTTTGATAGGTAATTAAAGAATATTAATTGAACTAACACTATAGTAATTAAAGTATTAATTTTAATTGCCATATTGTTAGGTTAATTGATATCGAAGTTAAAATAAAATGATTCTCAGAACAATGTACCGTAACAGCAATGTACAAGTAAGAGGTGGTCTTTTCTATTACGTGTAATTTGAGATTTAATGATTGCAATCACCAGTTAATGTGCAATATTCTTTAACTATTCTTTCGAAGGTAGATTACAGGGAAACATAAACTGCCTTTAAAAGCCTTTACAGAAAAGAATAACAAGATACCACTGTTTTTTATTTGATCGCTTCGTTCTGTCTTATCGAGCCTGGTGACACCATACACCCACTACAGTATTTTGATCTCGGTAGCTTGGATGGTGCCTATGGTTTTTTGTGTTATGGGCTTGGTGTTACTTCTATACATAAGGACCGGTAAAATTATGGTCTTATAGCCAAGGCCCTTGAGTTTTATGGGTATTTTTTGTCACAGGTAACACTAGTCACTTTTTGACATTTTAGCCACGCTACGGCTATAAAATGCTAAATGTTATTTCAACGAAGACAGACACATGTATCATGCTGCTCAGACATTTATATAGATCACGCAGCAATCGGGTCATCATCTGAATCTGGCGCATAGCAGACCATGTCTCTAATGTATGAGACAAATTTCATGAAAACTAATACAGTAACAAACAGTGATAAACGGAAAAGGAACTTTGACCCGCTTCTGCCCATAAAATCAAACATCATCTGCATTGTGTACCTGTTTGCTAAACAATGGACGTCATTAATATTATACGTGGTATGCCACCACATTTATTGCTGTCTGCGGTTTTTCATAAGAGCTATTTAGTCCAAATGTCCAAATGAAATTGCCTGTTTACAACAGAGTCTGTCGACTAATATAAATTTACCCGCGAATTACAGCCAATTTTATGGAAACCATACTTGTTTGCATTATATTAACAGGTACAGAAACGAAATTCGCTGGTTCATCCTGCAATGATCTGGTGACATCAGATGGCGCGGGTTCGACGATAATCTCGGGACATTTCGACAAGAGAATAAGGTTTTGGGACATACGGACAGAAATGTCAGCAAATGACATCATGCTTCAAGGCAAAGTAACATCGCTCGATCTAAGTAGAGGTACACCATTTTATTACAAACAACACAAGTTCGTTAACAGATCAGTTTAACTTGAAGTAATTGTATATTGTAGTATTGTGTAATCCTATGCCTAATTTTGAATTACTTACCTTTAAAACCCTCCTTAATTACTAAAGCGACCTGTTAAACTCGTAGTTTAGATAAACATCTCAACTACTTTTAACGTTAACGACGGGATGATGACATCAAAAGTCAAATAGCTGTTTATTTGATAAAATACTTGTAAATGTTCGTAATTAAATGCATCGCATATTAGTATCGGTATTGTTGTCAGCATAACAACGTGACGGGTTAGCAATGCCCATTTCCGTTACACGTCTCTTGATCGATCCCTTTTTTGTCAGTAACGGTTTGTGCATCGCACGAAATACTGAGATTGATACCTTCAATCAATTGGAGTGTCGGGACGTCACTGCCTTGGAAACTGATTAAATCACGTCGATTTTATCCGACAAATGAAAAGGTAGACAGTTCACAGTTAGCCATCACGCTCGATCCAGATACATCAGTGCTATCGACAATCTATCATCCGCGGAATGGCTTTCGGTATCATAAATATGTCAGTGTACGAAATCTTAATGAGCTAGCTCACTATTCTTCTCGTTTTAGTTCCCTTCAGTAAAGATTTGATCATTTTGGTGTCATATCTAATTATCATTGCACAAACAACACAGAACTGATGAAATTATTTTTCTTTAAATATTTTTTTAAGAACATTATCCTGTATGATTGTATTGTATAAGTTAAAAATAATATGCTCAAACTAATAAAGGTTTTGCAAAATTCATGGCACTTTCGTATCACATATGTATTTAAATCAGTTAATTAGTGAATCATTATTTTTATTTAGATATAAGATAAAAACAATGACGATGAAAGAACATTTATCCCAAATAATACGTTTTACAAAATTGCTTAAATGAGCGCGTCCATTATAAGACTTGAAACTTTTCTTTGATACAAAAGTTTCGAATACGTAATACTACTGAATTATTTATCAAACGGACCATTTAGAATAAGACATTTGTAATTTTTTTATTTGTACATGAACTATCGTTTCAGACAACAACTTCTTACTGGCTTGCGTCCGAGACGATACAATACAATTAATTGATCTAAGGATGAACACGATCGTACGTTCATTTAGGTAAGTAACATAATGCATAATAATTTAATGTCAGTGCTTGAAACTCAGCTGTGGTAACTTTTAGAGTTTTCCAGTCAAGTAATTGTATTTATACATACAGATTTATGCAGAACTATATAATTATTAATAAATGGTAAAATTAGAATTATTGAAATACATCGTCACGATATATTACAAATGTGAATATTACAATTTCAGTCACGAGTCGTTTAAGGTGGGCTGCGACTGGTCGCGAGCGGCGTTTGGCCCGGGCGGGCGACTAATCTCTGTGGGCGCAGCAGACGGCGCTGTATACGTATGGAATACATATACGGGAAGACTGGAAACGATACTCAAAGACCACGCGTATGTATTACTTATTGAATACTTAATCATTTTGTAAAAATCAACATGTACCGGTATTATAAAAATTACTTTATGCAGCACACAATCTGGTACTATAAAGCTTTAGTCGTAGACCCACTTTATGCACGTGGAAGACTTTGTGTAATGTTGTGTTCAACAAAAACTATCAGCTTCAAATATTCGCACCTTAGTTAAATCTTGCATGAAATAGTTAAGCCTTTTTTTTTAACGAGTAAAACCCTTCGGACTGTCACCCCAACGGGATTGCGGCGGGGCGGTGCCTTGTAATCGAACCGATCACACGGTGTGCCAAAGGAGAGATCTGGGAACAGTTTTATTAAGACATCCGTACTCCTCCTAGCGCCTGCCTACCATTACGCGGGCATCACCTTCGTGTAAATGCTTTATTAAGGCGACGCACGTCCGGCACTACCGTTCCCTCCACCTGCGGCCACAAGTAAAAATGGCATCTCAAAGAAGGATGGGACTGCGATCCACATCATTCTCCCAAAGGTTTTCGAAGAAATCAGTGTAGTTACTTCGAATACTTTTTCTCTTAGTACTTTGATGCACACGCTTTTCGATATTTGTATCCATACTAAACTTAACTGATGATATCTAACGCGTCGACAAGTCAAGTGTCAGTTGACAACGTATCAATTTTTATTATCGGACAGGCTAAATTTTAGAATTTTATTTTAATTATGTCACACAGTGTAAATTAAATTTAAGCTTACACCGTACCTTAATCTCAAGGTATACCTTACTGACACTATATATATATTTATAAATATATATAGTGTCAGTTTTTGATACGAAAAGAGAAGAGTACAAAATTATCACCTAGTTAGGTACAAATTTCGGTTATTTTACCTTTTATTTTAGAAGGGTAGAACGTTAAAACCTTAGATAATTATTGTTGTAACGAGAGGATTATTATGATTCCCAAAAATTCGCTGACTTACTTATTATCAATTCATTCTTTTCTTTGTTATATCCACGCCAGTATAGCCTTTATAATTCGTAATAAATTTTCAGAGCATTTCTGACCTTGAATTTTAAATTGAAATTGTTTTACCCGTGACATCGTTCGGTACCCCGTAACATTTTGCATGGACAATTGAAATCGTGAGGTCAACATTGGCGCGAGCTGTCTTTCCATTGCAAATTTCTCTTTCCCATAGCGAACATTGCATATTTATTTGGCATTAAGCTATCGTTATACCTGCTCAGTGCGATTTACCTTAACGATTGCAGATTATTATACAATTTTGTTTACCCTCAGAAAAAAAAAAAAGTATATAGTAAAGTAAGTAAGTAAAGTGTAAATAAAGTATATAGAAAACAGTTACAAGATCTAAAGTTGCAATTTATATTCTTGGAGTATCATCATCATCATCAGCCTATCACAGTCCACTGCTGGACATAGGCCTCTCCAATTGCACGCCACTTAGATCGATCCTCGGCTTGCCGCATCCAAGACATTTTGGATTATGCCGTTATGAAATAAAAGTTGCACGTAGATACAGACGTACCTAAGACTATATTCAATAATAAGGGGTACAATGTTAATATCACTTTGGTGCACGTCCAGGAAGCTATGCGTCCGGCTTCCTGGACGTGCGAGTTTAAAGGTGTATTTACCCTTAGGTCTTGTCTATGTTGTCGGTGAAACCCCGATGCAATACGGCTTGATCGAATCTTTAGCAAAACTCACCACCCGTCCATAGGGCCCATTCTTCTGCAAAATGAGTCATATTGTTCCCTACCCACAAGTAGGAGCAGAGACATCGCACACAATAGTGTAAACAATTATACCGTAAAACGTACAAAAGAAATGCGAAATCGATAGTTATGATACTATTTATAGAAAATTACCTAAGAACATAGGGATATGTACACCAAATAATACTATGACACACCCATTTCATTATTATGTTTTTTTTTTAAGATAAATCCCGCGCTAGGAATATTTCCTGTGTCGTGGGGGACTTTACGAACATACATCCGAATATATAATACGAAACGGACACCCACAACACTCGGCGTAGTAGGAAACAGCGTCGCGACCGCTTAAACCACTACGCCATCCGTCCAGTTGCTGTTGGTTGTTGTGCAGTTATGTTATCTGTACAAGCCGATAAAACCAAATAATTTTTAAATAAAATTAAAGCAATAAATTCGATCGAATAATCGATCCACGGATCAAACGGAAATACATGCAGATAAGGAATTAAAAGAAGATTTTTGGTTATGATAAGTAGGTACCTTAGGATACCTTATAACAATTTTAATGCATTTAGTAAAAATTTGTTATCACAACATTACAAACAAAACCCCTTTAATGTTATTTATGTGTGTATGTAAAACACATAAATCTATACTAATATTATAAAGCTGAAGAGTTTGTCTGTTTGTTTGTTTGAACGCGCTAATCTCAGGAACTACTGGTCCGATTTGAAAAATTATTTCAGTGTTAGATAGCCCATTTATCGAGGAAGGCTATAGGCTATATATCATCACGCTAAGACCAATAGGAGCGGAGCACCAATGAAGAATGTTTCAAAAACGGAGAAAATTTATCACTATTGAGAGACGCAGACGAAGTTGCGCGGGTCAGCTAGTTGGTAATAATTAATTATTTATAGATAATGTATACGATAATTTATATAAAATATAAGGTTTAGTGTATAAACTATTGTTGTACACAATGTTGTAAGTACAGTTTTGTACTATAACGTTGCGACACAAAACTTTTATTGTATCCGGCTAAAAACCAATTTCAACATGGCAGTCTAGAAGTAAAATGTGATGAACAATAAAGATTGATTGCCCTTCGACCCATTGTTTACCTCACATATATACGACAGCAAATCATATCCTTAATCGCGTGTATATAAACTAAACGTAGTTTTTATAAATTACATCTCACATTAATTTTTCTGATTATTTGATTTTATTTTTGATATTTTTTTAACGGGGTGGAAGATCCTCATGGATTTCCTTCGCCCAGCGGGGAATGGCGAAGGGGTCTCTCGGACTCTTACCGACTAAAATCCTCCTCGGTATTCCTCTCCATCCCAATGGCCGGGGAGCGAGAATCGCAATTGCATTCTTTCGCCACCCCCGAGAGGCATTGGCCCGTGTCACCTAAGACGTGCTAATGCTTGCCAATGCCAATACTTTTTGAGGCACTGGTAGTTCACGCCGATCTAGAGCATCCCTGCGCCACCGATATTGAATTATTTGAAATAATAATGTACGATCTAATAAGTAATTAATAAATACTAAAACTTTGTTATGGATACTACATCGTAGTATAATATGCGCTATAATATTTGGCTTATAATACACCACCACCCCAAATTTAGAATAATAACTTCTCTCACTCGCGTTTTAAGCTATATTTTTTGCCATATATATATTTACCCATACCGTTCCTATAAATGCGCGTGTATATTTCAAGACTCCTGCCAACTATTACGATACGAGACACCTTGGACTTTTCAAAGCTTAAAGAGATCAACAATCTCAGAGTGTACCTGCTAAGTTCATGCTCACAAATATTATCTATGTATCAGTACAGACCAGAGAAAGATTTGTAGTATAAAGTGAACATGAGGTCGAAAGTTTCCGGAAACGTACCATAGAGCAAAGATGTGTGCGTTTGCGCTTTGGTACTTGGAGTACCTGTGCCTGGGATGTGTCGTTGTTCTCTGCTTCACAGCATGCGCAGCATGCGGCCCCATCAGAAAATTAGCTCTTACATGTGCGACACAACGTTATTGTAGTTGTCGACGGCTCTTGTGATTTATCACCGACCACCTTATCGTTTCATGTTATCGCTTACAATATCTACATATCCATGATACATTAATTATATTTGATTTCATACGTTTAATTTTTAGATAACTATCTATAACCAAAAAATTAATTGTGTTAATTTAAAAATATTTTTTTAAATTAACACAATTAATTTTTAGGCTTTAAGTAATATTAACTCTTTTTCTCGACTAAGTGATCAAAGAAGTCCAAGATAATGCGTAGGTAGATCGTCGAAAGCCTCACTTAGATCCCCACCTCTTGCAGAATTAAAATAATTATACGATGAGCCTTCCAGCGTACTTGCAGCTTTCTTATTTATCCATTTAGATCATGCACATTGGCGAACTTAGGCATTCTCTACCAGTCAACCATTAGGTGATGCTGATTTAACAGGAAGTAGATTCATTTTGGTTGCTGTTGATGTTATACAAATAATTATTTATTAATGTAAACTGAATACAAAATCACAAATATCCACATATACAAGTCTATCATATACTACCCTTTACATATTACACAAGTACATACCTTACAATACATAAATGTAGTACAAAAGTTTATAGATACATACAGATACCAATAACAATTTTTAAATTAAGAAATAATGAGCAAGTTGATTCTTCTCCTGCACCACATCTCGAAATCTTCAATCCGCGTTCGATCAGCCTTTTTTAGTCTTTGGCCCATGTTTCTGCGCCGTAGTAGAATATAGAGGAACACGAGTGTCCTTACAAGAGCAATTTTAGGACTTTCGATCGCTCTACCTGCCCATATATTATATAATAGGTCATTACACTTTTTGCCTACCCAATGCGTCTCCGATGTTGAGTTCGCATGAGCAATCTTTGCGTATAGTGGTAATTTTAAAAACAAAAAGAGGAGCCAAGGTATATAAATTTTTCTACGTATTGGAGCTCGAGACTCCTATTGACTTCCATGTTTCGTGTTGTAGTTCTTTGGTCTTAGCTTGGTTATTGGAGAAACTGAGTTCTCCGCTCACTTATTCAATGCTTTTCACCAGTGCTCCCATCTCCACTTCGCAACTTGCAAGTGTGGTAGTATCAGTGTAGAGCTAATTAATAATCTTCACAAAAACGATAGAGGGAGAGAGAACCGATATAATAAGAACGCCCCTTTCTGACCTAAGGTATTCAGAACCTCTGCTGTAATTAGGT